TTGAGTGCATCAAACAAGGAATGATTGTCAGTCACACAGATCAAAGGAAGAGCGTTCAGACCAGTGTTACCAGTTGTAAGCTCAGAAAAAAGTGTTGCCAGGAAGACAGCACTGTCTATTCCATCTGACATGGCAAGAGTTTCTCCTGCCAGTGTACTTCTGACCACGCGCCTGATTTTTTTAGACTGCCAGAAGAGAGGACAAAACTTTCCTCCTTTACCTATAAGGAGGATTAATGCCCCTCCTTGAGTACCGCCATCAGGAAGGTTGCCAAATGAAGCATCACTGAAAACAACCAATGCCAGATCCTCACTGTTACCCAAGTGCTGAAACTTAAGAGTCACTTTCTCTGCCTTAAGTTTACGGATAACTTTGTTCACTTCATGAATAGACTGTACAGTTGCATCTTTGATATTAGATCCAAGGCTACATGTGTCAAACATAACATCAGGCCTCGTTTGTTTGGCAACCCACAAAATCTGTCCTATTTTTGACCTGAGTTGCTCACGTTCTGTTTCACTTATGGAAGCCTCCCTCTGTACAGCCCGTGCTGCTTGTAACTGAACCGGTTGTAGGTTTTCAATGTAAAGTTGTTGATTCACCTCTATTACATCATTAACTGTACAAATGTCCATACCAACATAAGGAAAGCTGTCATGTTCTTCACGGCCCACAAGGAAGGTAGATTTCAGTACAGGAATGATATGAGTTGCAAAGTGACTTGAACCAGCCCAAAGGAAATCATCAACGTGACATGCAAGCACTCCTGTAACCTCAGATTGTTCATTCTGCCAATAGAACACTGCAGGATGCAGTGTTGCTGATATATGATATATGTTCAGCTACTCTTGCACTTACAGTTGTGCCCTCTAAGGCAGGTGGCTTATCCATCAACACAGAAGGAAGGTTGGGGTTTTGGCCAAACACAAGTGTGGCTCAAATAATTTGTGTACCTTCTTATTTAATGCAGAACACCTGATTGTTCTGTAAATAGCTTTAAATGCTTATATAAAAAGCCTTTACTGCATTTTTAGGTAAAAGAATTTCTATTTGCATTTCAAGTTATGAAGATATTTTGATAAAAATGTTTGTGGTGTTACAGTAAAAACGTAACTTTTTTCTACTGGTCTGACATTACCTCAAACTCTGACAGGCGATAATTTCCAGTTCAGGTTAAACCCAATCTCTCTGATTGGTCAAAGCAAGAGTCTGCCTATCTGTAATTGCTCTATTGATCACTGTTGTTTTTTTCAATGGTAAAGGGTAGGGCCACCTCTAGTTTAAATTGCTTTATCGCTGGATCGGGAGGAGGAGCCACAGCTCAGGGTTTGCTTCGTGAGTCAACGAGATTGTCATTTTTACCTACACTGGCCGATGTGTGAAGATGCACCTGACTCTCTTGGGGATTCTCACTCCAATACAATCACCTCACAATGTGTTGGAGCATGTGTAGACTGACTAATTCAGATTTTGTCATGGTCCGGGGGAGTTCTGGATTTTTCCAGCGTGCCGGTGGTCTCAAAGATTCAGTGCCAGGATGTCGACTAACCCTCGTTAGTGAAGGCTTCACAGTCATAGAACCTCGTCATAGTTAAACTCTGTTTTTAATTCTGTTTTTCCCTCTGCTCTCAGCAGCCTGCTGGATGCCAGCTCTTCACCTCCATATTCCTGACCTCAGTCCGATGCCGGTCTGCTCGCAGCTTCTTTGTTCCACGCACCTGCCTCTCTGCCCAGCTTGCAACAGTTTTTGTGTTTTCGGACTAAAATAAAGTTTAACAAAATACTATACTGACTGAATAATTCTTAAAATCTTAGGTTTTTATTGCTTATAGAAACCAAAGAAAATTCTGCTCCAGTCATATGTGTAAAGGTAATAAAGTACAGCTGCCATGGGTTAAAAAAAGGATGAGGTGTTCAGGAGGTGCTTGGAAATTTGAGCGTCAGTTTGAACAGCAAGCTATACAATGACAACGGTGGTGTCTGAGTGTGTCTGTGTCTGAGAGAGAGAGACAGAGAGAAAAATATACTAGACTCACGAGTGTAAAAATTGGCGGCTGAAATACTTGAAATTCTGGCAAGCACTTCCAGAGGTTTTGGACGCCGGGTGATCATTTGAGCTGGAAGTGTTCCCACGCTGGAGACAGCCTCAACTGCCGCTCATAAGCCGTCACCAGCTGCAGCTGATTGTTTATTAGAGACAGGGATTAGAGCACAGATATGGAAACTCTTTATTCACTGTCACAAACACTCGCACTGTGTGGGGAGAATCGAGAAGATCACCTTGGAAAGCCACAATGCTGAAGATTCACTGCTTTGTCTCGGAAGAGTCATGCGTTCGGGTCTGCTTCCTGAACCCACACCCTGACAGCGATACATGTTAACAAAGAATATGCTTCGATTCCCTGTAGTGAACAACAGTTGTAACTCTAAATTTGCTTTAACAAGTAGGTCTTTCTATAAGGCTTAATTCTCCAAAGTGTGGATAAAAGAAAAAGTATAAAAGATGAAAGTAATTCCTTGCTTGTATGTTTGCTTTTCAATCATGAACTGTGCTCCTTTCTGTGTGGTAGGAAATTTGTGATGGCAATTGGTCATGCTTCTCACACCTGACAAGCTTCCAGAAAGGTCAAAAGGTCAAAGGGAAAGTCCTGAGATCAAGGGTCACCATCAATCAAACTCACATTCTTGAGTGACATAATGTACCCACCTGTTTAAATGTTTAAATGCATTGAAATGCTGCCATGTGACTGGCTACGCAGGTACTCGTGTTAACAAACAGTTGAACAAATAATCTGCAAATAAAGTATGCCTACTACTACCCTCAGCAAGTGACATCAATATAGAATAAATAGCAGTAGGCAGGATTCAGACAAAGTCAAACAAAAAACTCTTATCTGTTAAATGAGTAATGAATCCTCCTCCTGAAATGCCCTGTGACCTCTTAACCAGCTGGATTAAACACAGGTCAGAGGACATCAAAAGATCAAGAAGAATGATCTCAGTAAAGTGTCATTTCCCGTAACAGATATTTTGCTCTATTTTCCACAACCCATGAAGTCCGTGTTGGTAGTAATAGCTGAGTAATGGCTCCCTCTGCCTCTGATAGGAAACAGGCAGCAGGGAGGAGTGATGTGACCTCACTGCCGTCAATCACTACAGGTTCAGTGGGTGGCAGGGAGACAGGTAGAGATAAGGGTGTCATTAGAGTGAGTCACAGAGATGAAGGGAAACACACACACATAAACATACAATACCTCCATCATGACACACATTTAGACACAGACAGCTGAGCAGAAAGTGACTGTGATCATCTGTTTTAAGGCAGTCAGGTGAGGTGAGGATTTATGGCTCAAGTATTTTTATTTATTTTTTCTGTTGGTTGGTCACTGTAAACATTTCCTCACATCAGCAACTGTATTTGATAAGTGTTACTTTTTGTATGAATTATATAACATCAAAAGCCCGGTAGTCAGGATGAAAGCGGTTTCCGTTCGGACGCTTTGTGACTGAAGACCCACAAGGGGGCGCAACAACATTAAGAAACAAGACTGTGCTGTGAAGCGTTGCTTAAAAACCGAAAGTGGAAATGGGCTCCTTTGATTGATTGATTTGTTTAATCCTCTCCCCCCCCCTTTTATTTAAGTACTTTAGGCCTTTGGCTATTAGCTGCGTGTTTTCATTTATGTGGTTAAGCAGGTTTCCCTTTTGCAAATATTGGAGGCGTATTTTGCTACAAAACTGTTACAATGGGAGTAGCTGACTCCCAATAAAAATAACTAAATAACTAACTAACTAACTAAATAAATAAAAATAATAATAATCATGTGTTGTTCAAAAGCAAAATGTGGCTTTTGTGTTTTTGAGATATTTCATTAATATTTATATATTTTACTATTATTCATTTTTATTATTATTATTTATTTTCTGCTTAGCATTTTAGGTAATTTTAGGCGCAAAAAATAATAATTTTTTGGGCATCGTCACGACCTGTAAAAAAGTGCAATTTTCGTATTAACTGGGAAAAAATAAATAAATAACTGAGGGTTGAGGAGGAGGGAGCTGTGAGGTGGTGGGATCAGGAGGGAAAAAAGGAGGAGAAGGAGACCGAAGAAAGGCAGACCTCAGACCAGCCCGCCTTACCTCACACCCCACTGTCCGCGAGCCCGGTGTTCACGGGCAAATCTGACCGCAGATCAGCGCACTCGGGCTCCCTCCACACTACGAGTTACACCAACTGGGACTGAGACCAGAGGAAATCGTGTTCGTCGGTAGCCAAGGTACGCACGCCAAGACTCATCCACAGCAGACCGAGGCGAGGGAACGGACAAGAAGGGAGAGAATTCAAGGGGAAAGCTGGTAGGAACCACAGAGGAGTTCACTGCAAAAGAAAAAACCCCCACACGTTTAGGGGCGAGAGGAGAGGGTGACTGGCTGGCCCCGCAGAAGGAGTAGTATTACACGAAGCTAATTTCCAACATTTTCTATTCTTGGCAGCGAGAGTGTGCTCTCCGAGCCACATTTATAAAGAGAGCTAGCGGAATGTAATGCTAGCAGGCTAGCCGATGTTAGCTAGCTAATTAGCTTGTCAGGCATCCGAGAGTCGGACGTGTGATCTTTATTAAAATAGGACACTGTCGTCGTTTTTCTTTTTTCAGGGGGAAAAAGGAAAGAGAGGGACAACTGTACTTAATGTGCTTTGTGTTGGATTCTGCCATGGTTTTAAAGGGGTGTCTCGCATAGCTAAGGCTAAGTTAGACAATAAACAGTGCAAGCTTGTGTATATTGATGAAAATCCGTTCAATATTATCTGTCTGGGAAAAGCCAAATCCATTGTGAATATCGAGCCGTGGACAAACCCAAAGGAGAAGGCAAAGGTAACAAAAGAAAAGAAAAAGCCAAAGAGACTTTTGACTGGTGACTGTCTCCCGTCCAATGTTAATGTCGACCGACGTTGCATCTATTATGCTACCCGTTAGTCGGGGAATAATGGACCGGGAAAGGGACATTGATACAGCAGCCGGACCCCATGCAAACGCGGCCGGGGGTCCAGCCGTGGTCCGAGGGATGAAGAGAGGAGATCCGGAGCCCGACGCTCAGACTGCCGCTGCCCTCACTGACTTGTCCGGGGCGGAGTGCAAAAGACCAAGGATAGACGGGACCGGGAGTGTTGTCGGTGACATTGGCCAGGTATGAATGCAGTGTAAACACAAAAGATATGTTTCTCACATCTGTGTCTTTTTTGTTTCCATCTGTTACAAATGCTGCTCACTGAACTCAGTATCATCCGCCCTCCTTTTCCTTCTTCGCTGTTTTTTCTGTTTGTTTCTAAGCATCAGCTAGGAAGGATGATGTTTTTGACAGCCCCCCCTCCACGCGCGCATTTTCCCCTCTTGATAATCATGCATCGTTGCAACAGCAAATCCTTTAATTATAACAAGCGAAACGCAGGAAAAGTGTCTCAGTAGTAAACGCGTTGCTTGCTGTGATTATCGAGGCTTGCTGTTTGTTCCTCTTGGTGCTGCTCTTACCAAACCAGACAAAGGTAATATGATCCAGGCTCCATTGCTATGACAGTCTCAGACACCACGGCAAAGATCAGAGCCATTCATCATGCCTGCCTCACAGAAGGTAAACCAGTGCTTTGTCACATGTTGCGAGGGATTTTGTATTTTTATACTTATGTGGATGAAATTACTTTGAACTGTGCGGATAATTTGTCAGTGAGTCTTCAGAAATCCTGACACACACATGCAGGGCATTTAATGGCTCCGTGCCCCCCCATGATTGTCGCTAGGTGTTAAAAGAGAGAGGCAGACAAGGATTGGGGGAGGGGTCACCACAGAGAAAGACAAAGAACAGAGCCTTTTTTTTTTTAGCTTGAAGGAGCGAAGGGTCTCTGGGGGCCCCTCCTTAACACGGGTCTTCCCTTGCTTTTATGACTCGACTGCTGAGACAGCAAAGCATCAGCGACCGTTCCTGCCTCCCCGGACCAACCTGTGTACGTTACAGTAAACTAGAGAACTGCCGAGGCGCAGGGTGCACCTCTCACTTGTTCTGCCTGGATCTCTTGCTATTTATTTCTCTCTTGCAAACACACAGCACGCATCATTCCTACACCTACACACACATGCTTTGAAGTGCCCCTGTAATGCAATAGTACAAGAGAAAAATTTCAGCTGACGTCTGGTGTTTGTTTTTTTTTGTTTGTTTTTTTTAAAGACCAGGGAAACTGCTCTAACGGTAGTCGAAGGGCAGACGGACACGACTTGAGGTCGTCTGCAGGTAATTGAATCCTGGGGAAACTGGTAAAATGCTTCAATGGGCTGTGCAGCTGACCCGCTGCAAAGACAGAAAGGTCCAAGTGTGATGCTGTGATGCTCAGTGAGCCTCACAGAGGATGGATGTTGATGATGGGAAAAGGTTATAGCCCGCTGGCAAAGATGATGTGACAATGAGCAGGGCGGCATGTGGTGGATTCTCGCTGCCCATCGGTTGTATTGATTGTTGGGGTCGGGGTGGGGTCGTGTAAATGGAATAAAAGGGAGGATGAGGCTACAGCAAGAGAAAGAGAGTGCGCCGAAGGTTGCACGTGGAGGATAAAGAGGGGAAAGCGAGGCTCGTGGTTTAATTGGGCACAGTGTGCGAGTGGATTAGAGGAGAGAGAAAGAGGTGTGACTGGGGACTGATAGATGGGTAGATGTGGGGATTTTGGGGTGGGGGCGGGGAGGTGGGATAAAGGAGACTGAGGGCAGAGTGAAAATGAGAGCCGTTAGTTTGCATCCATCAGGCGGCATGATAAAGTATGCGAGGGAAGTGATGGATGGCAGGCATGACACCATCAGTTGTGGGAGAGATAAGCATGAGGACAGGGCCTGAATGATGATAATCAGCTCAGTGACACTTTATGCAAAGGATAAATAAATCGGAAAATGACATTGAGGGGATGTATCGAGTAGCTCTCGGGCGCTGCATGGCTGCTCGCGATGGAGATGATGACTCCAGTGGATGTTCCTTGAACTAAATGCACCCAGCAATTACTGTAGGGCTCCCGCAGTGAGCTCGAGCTGGTATACTTCTGACCTTCCAGGCTGACTGTAAATCAGGACTGTAATAATAAACGAGAGTGTAGCCTCCCCTCTTTTGTTGTTGCTGCTCTCCTCCCCCGCTCCACCTCATACAAACTGCACCCCTTCCCACCCCCACCCTTATCTGTCCTCTGATTTGTCCCCCTCCTGCCTCCCCGCAGGCATATTTCCAGATTGCTAATTGACTCCTGGTTCACAGGCTTTCAGCGTGCCACTGAGGCAAGCACCCCCCCCCCCCGGATTCACTCTTTCCTCTGTGCCGCCCCATCTATCTCCCCCACTGCCATCTTTGATAATGTCTTCATTTCTCAGCCCGTCTCCCATCACTCAAATCGGTGGAATATCCATTTCTTTTTCCCAGCTGTGTTGTCTTATTTTCCTCTCTCCTTTTTCCACCCTTTCCCCTCCTCTTCATCTCCCCCTATGCGATCTTTCTTTGTATGTTTGGTACGCTCTGTTGGTCTTATTGATGCTTCCCCTTGAGGCAGCACTGTTGTCTGCGCTGAGGTAGTGGGAGTACAGTATCCAACTCTCCCTCTTTCCGCGTTTCTCGGAGAGCTGATTTGTCCTATCGTTGGCAGTAAAGAGGCTTTGTGTCGCGCTAACGAGATCAAAGCTCATTTAGGAGAGGGCATTAACCAGAGCGATCGCTTTAATGGGGCCAGGATGGAGTTGGGGTGGGGGGTGTGGGTGGTATGTATGAACAGATCACTGAAAAAGATTATCACCGATAGCGCACGTTGTTTGTTTTTTTTTTTTCTCTCATAGTGTTCACCACAAGCAGCATCCATAGCACTGAGAATCATTACTTCTCGTGGAACAAGTGAAGTTAAAGTTTAGTCTGCTGAGCAGCTTCAGAACTTATTGTGCTGCGAACATGAGAGCTGATGGTTGCCTGAGAAAAGAGACGTTAAAGAATACCCCTGCAGCCCAGACAAGAAAGTACAAGAAAGTAAATTGCAACAAGAACTTTAAAGTCTCATGAACCTTGGATATCACACCAATATTACATGTACCCACCGTAATTGCACCTCCTTTTTTCCCCTTAGGCCCTCAAAGCCACAGGACAAAAACAATAAAAATGCATAAATATTTTAAAAATATGTAAAACTGAACATTTAACAATTTGTTTAAGTAGTTTATATGCCCTTGTTTCATTTTAGTGCAGTGTAAAATTTTACTGCGTCTGTTATTTCTGCCGGCGGTAGTTTCTGTGCTTCTCTCTGCATGTGTGAGGAGTTTTGATTGGAGCTTACTGTAAGACCTGCTTTAGACTGCTGCGGGGGTTTTTTGTCAAACCTACAACGTAAACCATGTAAGTGGCTAATGTTGTTGCTCGCATTTATGCTTGTGTTGGTTCATTATTTGTTAATTAAAGTGTGGTTGTGGACTTTATTCCCTCCAGAGTCCCCGTGCTTGTTGTTGTTTTTCTTTTTCTTTTTTTTGTGCATCATGGGCAAAAATATTGGTCTTTGTGTATTTCCCTCATGTCCATTCCAATAGTTTCAGTGATCTTCTTTCCTTTGCTGACATTTGTGAGTCCATATATTATGATGTGCTATGATTATTATTCCTTATAGTGAGACGATGATTGTTATTTTCTCGCTGAAAAATTCATCAACTGCAGCAAAAGACGAGTCGAAAATGCACACGATGAATCAATTGTGCTGAACAGGCCAATCACAATAATGGGCCAATCCAACCTATAGTGACATTTCTGGGCAGGTACGCTTCAGATTACGCTGTAGGTTATGGAGGGGTTTGTGGTTGTGACGTAGCTACAGCAAAATTTTCCATCTGAAGCATTCACCAGCGAGTTGTGTAAAAGCTGATCAACCCCAAATCCTTTAGCTATTAAAATCTATTATAAGTGCTGCCAAGTTACATGTGTGTTGCATGTATCCAAAGGTCTGCCTGGGTTCATGTGATTGCATTGTTGTCATGATGTGGTAAACACGAGGCTCCATGTGCACATCTGCATGCCCTCAATTTTGTCGCATACGTTCTGCAGGCACTACTAAGACACCCTCTGTGCATGCATCCCCAAAGTGTGCAATAACTATTCATCCCTGCGTGTTTGCACGTGAGCGTAATCCCTGGATTTAACACTGACTTCGTTTGACTGGCACAGCTAGACTTATTAGTGGTTAGTAAAAGTGATGAAAAAAGAAATGCAAAGACAGGGAGAAGTGTCAGTGAGGTAACAGGAAGCCCTGTATGGAAGAAACAAAATGATTTGTTGGCAAGTAATAAGCGAAGAGAAGATTAATTTGCATTTTTGTTTGATCATGATTTATCAGTAGTTTTCTCTTTTTTTCCATCTTACCCAATTGGGTTGATTTACTGCCTTTCTCCTTCATACATTATTGTAAACTGAAAGGGACAGAGTGTTTTTGTTTAACTGCGATGCACATTTTTCAATTTTAAGACTATTAAAGCCTTAAATGATGACTTGAGATAACAATAACACTCAGATTCAATGATAATGAAAAAAATCATTAGTCACAAGCAGCCAGAAGTCAGCAGCTGCCATTATGCTAAGAATTAATATCCCCAGAAGTGGAAAGTGTTAGGAGGACGGGGAGGTGTGGGACCAGTTGTGTGTTCGGCACATACTAATGTGCTAACATGTGTCGCAGAGGGTCACACAGTCCCAACCTGGTCTCGCATTAGGTGCTGTGCAGCTGTTAATGATTGCTGTTAAACTTTGAGCCACAGCACAGTGGACTCACCCTTGACTTTTGAACCAGCAACGATAAGCTAAAATTCCCCATACGCAGTTGCTCAACTCCTCTTTTCTCCCTCCCTTCTTGTGTTCAGCTCAGCTCACTACGCAACAGCATTATTACTCAAGCATCGACAGCAGACAAAAGAAGGACGCCACCATTCATAAAGAGATCAGAATAGGTTTGAGATCCCTTTCTCTCTCACTTGATTTCCTGGTTTCAGCTCCTTCACATGGCACTTTCATGCTAACACTCCCTTTATAGTCATCATGCCACTGCTCCCCCACCCAGCATAGCTCCTCCCCAAGGCTGCCCCCAAACTGTCACATGTGCTCCCATCTCCTCCCACACATACAGCCAAATGTCAATTCAGTGC